CGATCTTAGTTATGTAATGTGCCTTTTGGATGTAATGTATCGATACCATTGAAAATTCCTACATGTAAAATGAAATGTTTTTATAAGAACAAACAAATACAAGTTTATTTAAAATTAAAGAAGAAAAAAATACAAGTCCACTTTTTTTTATAGATAATTTATTATGCATTAACTAAAGAGAAAATTTGGAAAAATACCTTTTTGTGTTTTAAATTTTGAATAATACACTTTGTATGTTTTTTTTTAAATACACTTTTTGAATATTAGATTTAGTAAAATAACCTTAATAAAACTGAATAACAATTGATATATCTTATATACTTTTTGAAAAATTAAATTAATTTTTTGTGGTGATAGACCTAAATTGTTATCTAAATTTTATTTGAAAACAATATTTATTTATTTTAAGTTTTAATGTTATGCAAGATTATGTATCTGCTCATTATTATGTTACGTCGACCCCCACGAGAATGGAATACCAAACCGACTTATTTTGTTAAAACAATGGAAATTGTGTTCATAAATCAATTTATCCATTCATTTAAATCAATTAAACTATATAGTTGAATCATAATCTTTACATCAAAACTTTACTTTTGGTTTGCACAAGTGGAATTGATGGAATAACGTAAGTGGAAAAAATGAAGAAGTGGAAAAATGATTTTTTTGTTCTACTAATTCTTTTCCTATTTTGTAAAGGAATGTTTTCCTCCAACTTTGTTTATATTTTCAATTTTTATTGGTGAAATAAGTTGAATCACTTTTTAAAAAATTTCAACCCAAATATAAACACTTAGAAGAATGCTCAATTCCACAATTTTTTGTTCCATTCAAATGGCAAAGATCTAGAAGAATATATAATTCTATCAATTTTTATTCCTTTAAATGAACAACAATTTGCACCCTTTGAAGTCTAATGTCCTTTGGGTGGGGGAGGAAGGAGCTGAATCTTTTAGTACAAAGGTTGTAGTTTTTTATAGCTAATTCGTATAAGAGCATCCTCAATGGGGGATCTTAACCCAAATTCTTAAATATAAAATTATTAAAACACACACTCTCTCTTKRTTTTACTCAARTTTTTACTTTRTCTTTCATCKTTTTARTCAARTTTTATTAATTTTATATTTAAACACTCTCTCATCATTTTAAAAACACTCTCCAAAAGTTCTTATCTAAGCAACTCTCTCTTCTTTTTACTCAACTTTTATTAATTTTATATTTAAARACACCCARTATCCTCTTTRTACTRAAATTTTATATTCCAATACACCCAATAAAAACACTCTCTTTCTTCTTTTTACTRAAATTTTAATAATTTTATATTTTAAGAACTCCTTAAGCACCCCCATTGAGGATGCTCTAAAGTGTTTGACCAATATTTTTGCTGTGTTTCATGTTTGAGAAATATAGAAATCCCAACAAAAAAACTCTACGCTTGGAATAGCAATACGTCTATTGATCAAGAACAGTAAACAATCAAAATAAATATTATTTTATCAAAATCTGAAATGAGATCATTCTGAAACAGTAAACAACTTTATATCAAATTAAATTAAAACAATATTACTAATAGTAATTAATATTACGAATTTTCATTATAATTTATTATAATACATGTTTCTAATATAAATTAGGATAAAAGAGTCTTTCAAATACAAAAAGAGTTAGTTTACAAAAAAAAAAAAAGTAGTGTATTTTTCAAATTTAGAAACATAAATAGAATATTTTTCAAAAAATCCCTTAACTAAAATAAGTTAATACTATAGAAAAAAATACTTTCTCTATTTTCACGCTATTTTTTATTGAAAGAAATGTTGGCTCTTTAAGAAAAATAAAAAACAAATAAAAAAGTAAGACTCTAATTCGCTTAGAAGGTCCAAAAAGTTAGCTAGGTTAAGTCGTGGTGTCCAATATATAAGGCATGTAGTAACCCTAAGTCTCTCTCTCGCCTATTTGTTGCTGCCGTCTCCTTGCTATCTTTACAGTCTCCTTCAGATTCTTGCGAAGATGGTTAGTTCTCAAACACTTCATTTCTCGTCTTGATTCTTCAATCTTTGTACTGATTTGATTTCGTTATACAAATACGATGAATCCGTTTGTGAAATTCTCTGGAGATTACTGTTTGTATCTCTTGTTCAAATCATTTTAGGCTTATGTAGAAGCATGAATTTTAGGTTTCGAAATCGGAATTAGTTGATTAGAAAGTGTTTGTTTCGTGTTTTTTATTGATCTGGAACCTTGTTTGTTTATTGGTGTTGGAAACAGGTTCTTCAAAACGATATCGATCTGCTTAACCCACCAGCTGAGCTTGAGAAGAGGAAGCACAAGCTCAAGCGTCTTGTTCAGTCACCAAATTCCTTCTTCATGGTATTGATTCGAAATCCCTTTTTCTTCATTTATTTTGAAATCGAATCTGTGTTTAGAATTGTATATAACGAGTTTGTGAAATTGATTTTGCTATGAATGAATCCTGATTTAGTGTTTTTTGGATCTATATACTCATTTTTGGAGTCTGATTGTTGTTTTCTTTTTGCTATGTGGTAATGAATTCGACTCTTCTTACTTTTAGACCCCCTTGAAAACAAATCTCAGTTTAAAATTTTTAAATATTGAGTTTTTGAATTGATTTGGCTCATAAACCTTTGAATGTTTGAATTTGATTTGCCCTTAAACCTATGAATTATGTCTACTGTTGTATTACTTGTTGATGTTTAACCATTTTGGAATTTGTTAATTTCGATTTATTGAATTTGATCTACTGTTTGATTATTTTTGTTGTTGTTGTTTAACCATTTTGGAATGTGGTAATGATTTAGAACACTAGAACCCCTTACTCTGACTTTTTGGACTCTGATTATTGTTTCTTGTTGTTGTTAAACTTATTGTAGGATGTGAAATGCCAAGGATGCTTCAACATGTAAGATTTCAATACAATTTTTCAATCTTTTCCCCCCTTTAGACATTACATTGATGTAGAAGCACAAACTTACCTGGTCTGTTTTGCTATTATTGCAGTACTACCGTTTTCAGTCACTCTCAGACCGTTGTGGTATGCGGAAACTGCCAGACGGTTCTGTGCCAGCCTACAGGAGGAAAAGCGAGGCTTACCGAAGGATGCTCTTTCAGGAAAAAGTGAGATTGATTTGAAGCACTCATGAAATCAAATCAGGGCTCTTTTCTTTTGGCTGTTATGAATTTTTGTTTCTCTCTTTTGAAAACAACTCCTTGAGAGTTTAGAAGGAAACCTCTGCTTATGTTATGATTTTAAGGTTATTATTACTATGTTGATGTCTGGAGTTTATAAATGTTATGGATTTTGAAGTTTTTTTAAGTTAAAGTTAGTTCCCTCTGCTTTAAGAGTTTATGCAGAAGCACTAACATGTTGATATTTTTTCGCTGTTTGTTTCAGTCTTTAGACCATATTCATAACATGTTTCTTCTTAAGAAGAAAAGAACTGTAGATTGAACCCTCCATGTACCAATGGTAAATGCTTTTAAATAAATTGTACCAACAACCAAACTATCCTACTTAAAATCCTCGAATGTAGAATTTTTGTAATCTAGATTTGTTATGAATTATGATCAGTAAGGAAACAGAAGCTCAAGCCCATTGGCCAAATACGCACAATTCGATTAAGTACATTTACAAGTTACTTTCCTCAAATTTGAAAGTATTTTTAAGGGTTTTTGATCAAGTAAAGTAATCGTTGATTTGATTAAAAACAAAGTGTTGAATAGCATGTATCATGTACATGTGATTACACAATGATACACCTTGAGAAAATGATGTGGAAAAATATTAAAAATGAAATATGTTGACAGTGGGATTTGAACCCACGCCCTTTCGGACCAGAACCTTAATCTGGCGCCTTAGACCAACTCGGCCATATCAACTTTGTTGTTCGATCAAAACAGCTTTTTAATAATCAACAATCCATTTATTAAACCCTAGTTTACTTTAAAAGGCTTTTTTTGACCTTTGTTGTTTGTTCAGAGAAGTGTATCTCCGGCGAACCACCATGACCAGCGAAAACGCCGGTAAGCTCTCTCTCACTCTCTCTGTTGCTCGAAATTGTTTTTTCTTGATCTGATTGTTTGTCTGAAATCCACTCGCAGAGCCTATTAAGACAGGTGTACTCTGGGACGTAGAGGATTGTCCAATCCTTAATGGTCTCGATCCTAAATCGATTTATGAGAACATCAAATCAGCTCTCGAGAATCAAGGTTATCATGGTGAGGTTTCAATAACGGCTTACAGAGAGAAGAAACCGATCCGAAACGACTTTGAACTCGCAGGAATCAACTTGAAAATCGAAGGTGAAAAATAACACAAATCTTGGTCTCTCTCTCTTTTTTGTTTGTTTGTTTTACTTTATGTTCGTATAGTAAGATGTGTTTTTGTTTTTTTTTAAAACTTTCTTCAGGAGATAAACATGGTAGATTTTTTGCCATGTTTCACGACATGCTTGATTTGATGTTTGAAACTGGAACAAATTTGTTGATAATTTCACGAGACAAGACGGATTACACCTGTTACCTCGATGGTTCGAAAGCGAATCTTCTATTTGCAGAGCCTGCAGACCCACCGGAGAATTGTTGCAAGTGCGGTATTGTTTTGGACAAGAAGCCGATCATAAAACCGGTCAAAAAGGGCGTCATTATTAGTGATGAATGGGTTTGGACAAGCCTAGCCTTTGGAGGAGACCCTATCACCAAAACCGAAAAGCCAAGAGAGCAGAGCTGATTCTGATTCTTGGAACAAGTAATGAAATTTACCTTCAGTTGGAATTATTGTTGTTGATTAGGCTCTAATTTAGTCCATTGTCACTGAACTAGTTGGTACATTATTAGTGTGTTATGCATTATCCTCTTCTTGTTACATCTCGTAGTTCTTATATAATCTTCTCTTATCAGCTTTTCATCATCGTGTCCATTTTAAGCTTTGAGCATCCGTAGATAATCATCAATGATCGACATTGCAAATGATCGATATAGCCCGACCCAAAGAGCTGATTTTGATTCAACTAATGATACAACAAATACATATCCCTCCTCTTCTCAAGTCTCGGTTGTTTTGGCATTACCTTAGCAAGTTCAAGAAACAAAACAACAACTCCGTAAATATAACCTGAGAGAAAAGGAAGAGTGTGTGTGTGTCTCGACGGAGACCATTAATGGTTTTACAC